TCTGTTTATTTTCCATTTACCACACACGCTAGGATTTTGCTCCCCAAACGAAAGAAAAATGAGCGACTATCTCTTTTCAATGGGGCTTTTTGCGAAATCCTGCCCTAACCGTACACACACGTTGATTCGGGGCAATTTTCTATAAACCGGAAACGATGCTATCACTCGAATCTGGAGTAATAATAATAATAGTGATGCACGCGGTGCCAACCGAGGTATGAGATGAATTAAAAAAAAACCCTCCAAAGAAACACTCGGGGCCGTTTCTCAGCCGTGAACTTCAAATGTGACCTTCTCCCCAGGAGCCCCGACAGGCTGCGGAGCACCAGCAAACCGAGGCGCTCAGAGTCCGCGCCCCAGCGCCAGGGAGGGCGGCTCCTAGCGCGGCGCCAAGGGGACTGGATGCTCTTGCTCCAGCTCCTGCTCGCTGGGGACTAGGACGGAACGTTCCGTTTTGGAAGCAGCGTCGGGCCCCTCCAAGGCAAGCGGGGCCCGGTTCGCTAAGGCCCGGGGCAGCCCGGCTCCAGCGATGCTGAAGTTGAGATGCGCCGCAGGCGGCGGCGCTGAAGCCGGAAGTTGAAGCGGATCAGCGCGACTTGCAGAGGAAAACGGCCCGCCAAGGGCTCCAGGGCTGCGGCTGATGCCTGCCACCGACAGCGGGGTGGCACTACTTAAGGGGGGGGGGATATCTGGGTCACACCTATTGCTACTGCAGGGGGCACCCCGCGCAGCCGAAGTGGGGGCAGGTGCTACTGGGCCGGGCTTCTAGCTGGAGAAGCCCAGAAGGAAGTTTCTTCCTGGCCGCCGCGCTCAGTGCCCAGGGAGGAGTGAGCCAGGCGGGCAGTGCACGCTGCCATGGCTGCGAGGCTACTTAAGGGGGGGGGGATATCTGGGTCACACCTATTGCTACTGCAGGGGGCACCCCGCGCAGCCGAAGTGGGGGCAGGTGCTACTGGGCCGGGCTTCTAGCTGGAGAAGCCCAGAAGGAAGTTTCTTCCTGGCCGCCGCGCTCAGTGCCCAGGGAGGAGTGAGCCAGGCGGGCAGTGCACGCTGCCATGGCTGCGAGGTGCCCCGGCGCCCCCCGAAGGAGAACCCCGGGGGCGCCCCCAGCCACAAGCCCCTTCCTTGGGTCCAAGCTTCCCACTCCCCCAGCTGCTGCTCAGGGGAACAGAGTATCCGCCACGGGGCAAGACGCTGCTTTGATGGGACACTTTACATCTATTACCGCGACTCCGGATCTTTGTCAAAAGCCCCCAAACCTGCCAGGCTGGTGGAGAAATGCCCTCCACGGGGAGTGCGTGTGTGCTATGAACTGTCCCGCTCTCTGATTATTATTTCAACACCAGGGGACCGACCCTGAAGGGTGTGGCTGGGTAGCTCCCTTTGATTCCAATGGCGATTTCAAAGCCCTCCAGTGTCAGCGGTCACAGAAAGTGTCTCTGCCAGAAATGTACCTTGATGGGATGAAATTAAGAGGGAGCCGATGCAGCTGGCACGTTTCTGTTTTCTAGGAAGCTTTCTGACCTCTGGAGTCACCCTGCCATCCACCTCACCTCTGCAAGGCCCATAAACAGCGGCAGACCGCTCAGCCTGCAAGCAGCCCGGAGCCCGGCAATATTTGTATAAAAACTAAATTCGAAAGCCCCTCCCCGTGCTAACTACGCGGGAGGAAGCAAAGCGATTGTTCATTTAGTAGAACAATGCACTCTCTGTCTCGCCAGTTCCTGGAATGAGAGCCAGTGGGAGGGAGTGTGTGTGTAACAATAGGAGGAAATGTGGAAGGTTCCAAAGACACCTGTTCTGTCTCATTTTCCAAAGCCACACTTAAAAAATGATAAAGGAACGGGTTTTATTTATTTTTCCACCACGACATTCAGTTATAACAGTATTGATTGTTTTAAAAACAGGACCGATTCCTGACAGAACTAGATAGGTAACCAAAAAAAAAAAAAAAACCCAACCAAACCAAAAAAAAAACCAAACAACAAAAACAAAAAAAACCCCAACACGTTGGGATGATACTAAACAATTGTCCTACAACAGGTGAGCAGACAGCAGGAAAGATAGAATGGAGGTGTCCACACAGCAACTGATTTCAGTCTACTAAAACCCACACATCCGATGGACTCTACAAGAAAACTGTACATAATAGCAAATAAGTTACTTTTTTCAAAGATTGATTGTCCTTCACTTAAAGCGCTCAGCTCACTCAACATCTTTTATTTATTTATTTATGTTAGCAGGTCTAGTGTTTATTCCCTCCTCCTATCCCTCTCTTTTCACTTTCCTTCTTTTTAACTACAGGAATGAACGCAATTATACAATGAAAAAAAAACCCTTTTTCACTATTAAAATAAAAGCAGCGCTTTAAGAATTTTCGTACAATATTGCACAGTTCAAAAAGTACAATAGATTTTTGTTTTACAAAAAAACCCCAAAAGGATACAGATTTTTTTAATGTTGAAATGCCATTTCAAAGAAAATAACCCTAGGACAATAATAATCCACAATCAATTGTTTTAAAATCTAAACAAATTATAATAAATAAAGGATCATCCAACCTGTGTATATAATTAAGGTTTTTTTCGTTTTTCCTGTATTTCTTTCGCGTTATAAAGTCCCATCACAGAAACAGAACAATGCAAAACATTGGCAAAGTGACCAGGCAAATTTGTACAAAGGTCTGGTTAAATTAAAAGCCACGTCTGGTGGCGTCTCTGAGTTGTATCAGAACCGAGAGGATTAACCGGGCTGGGAAAGAAGGAAAGGCATGAAAGGAACAGAAATTCCGTTTTCCGCTAGCATTTGGCAAATATGGAGGAGTAAACCGCGATCATTTTATTTATTGTTGTTTACAAAAATAAAATTAAAGCCACAAAGATCAGCGCAATATTTTGTTCACGTTTACAAAAAGATGTGACAATCCTAGTGTTCTCTACAAGTTTCCACTTCAACTCTGGTTTTATTTTTAGGGTGATTTTTTCCCCCTCTCCTAACAACCACCCTTTAAAAAAAGAGCATCAAATATTGGCTTGATGAATTGCACAAATCATTGGAGTACTTACAAAATTACTGATCATTTACAGCTGCTCCGTTTCCTCGGGCCTCTTTCCTGACCTAGAGGTTTTGGTGATTTTTTTTCAAGCCACCCCCTCCCCACGGGCGCACCAGACAGTTGAATGGGGTCAGTCCTCAGACGGGTCGCAGAAGCGGTACTGATGTGACTACCGGGTGGGAGTAGTAGACCGGGTGGGGGAATGTTAAGAGGGGCTGGCTGACGGGCACGTTGGCCGCCGAGGTGCCGTTCTCGGCGGTGGAGTTCTCGTGGTACAGGATAGGCACCCTCACTATTCTCTGGGCGGCCGCGTGGCTGAGGTTGGCAGCCTCTAGCTCTGCGGCCAGCTGCCTTTTCCACTTGTTTCTTCTGTTCTGAAACCAGATCTTGACCTGGGTCTCTGTCAGGTGCAGAGAGGCGGCCAGCCCGGCCCGCTCCGAGCTGCTCAGGTACCGCTTCATGTCAAAGGTGGACTCCAGCTGGAAGACCTGGCTCCGGGAGAAGACGGTGCGGGTCTTCTTCTTCCGGCAGGGCTTCTTCTCCGGGCTGTCCTCTCGGGCTTTCCAGTCCTCCCGGGCCTCCTCCTTCTTCCCCTCCTCCGAGTCACTCTCCTCCAGAATGATCTCGTCGGGGCTTTTGGAGTCCAGCTCCTTGCGGTCCGGCTCGGCCTTCAGCAGGGGGTCTGGGGAGTCTCTGTCAGTGCCCGAGGCCGGGGAGGAGTCTCGCAGAAGAGATTTCTCTGCCGCTAAAGGAAACCGAAACAGACAGCGCCTTTAGCACCACCAGGCCCGAGGCACCAGCCCGGCGCCTCCCTGCCCGCTGAGCCCGGGAGGAGAGGGGCTGCTCCCTGTTCTCCACGGGGCCCGCTGCCACCTTAGCCTCCCCCCAGAAAGGAACCCGCTGGAGGCCACTCCCTGGTGCCTGGCCAGCTCCCGACCCAGCCTGTTAACCGCCTGGGAGCCCGGACGGGGGCAGCCCCCTTCACTGGGCAGCCCGGGCCCCTGCCTCCCTCGCTCCTGCCCCAGGAGAGCAGAACCCGCGCTGGGAACCCGCGCAGAGACAGATAGACAGACTCGGGCGGTACCTTCCGGCCTGGGCAGGTGGGCTCCCGCGGCGCTCAGGGTGTAGGGGTACCACCAGGAGGTGGGAGACCGCTCCAAGTAGTGCGCCTGCAGGGCAAAGCGCTGCGCCGGGATCTCAAAGCGGGGGAAGGCGAGCTCGCCCACCTGGGAGAGGGCAAAGCCGGCTCCATCCAGAGCCCCCTTGGCGGCCGGGGCGAAGAGCGCTCGGGGCTGCTTGGGGGGCGCCTTGGGGTGGTCGCCGTTGAGCAGGTTCTTGATGGAGAAAGGCGACTCCTTGGGCGGCGGCGGCGGCTGGCTGCTGGGGGGCTCCTGTCCGGTCTCAGGCATCCTCCTCCCGGTCTGTGGCAGGGCAGCGGCGGCTCAGACCATACACCGCCCTCTCAGTCCCGGCGCGGGGCACCCAATCCGGGCGGGGCTGGGGCAGGCTGCGAGCGGGCGGCGGGGCGAGGAGGCAGCGCCTCCGCGCATGGGGGGCTGCTCAGCCGCCGGAGACCCCCCAGAGCCCGGGACCCAGGGCTGCTGCGGGGAGGAGGCGAGGAGGACCAGCGCCCGGCTGCTGCTGCGTCAATCTGGCGCCGGATGCTAATGATGAAATCAAAATGTCATCCAAGTTAAATGCAGGGAGTACACGGCGATTGGGCACGCACAATGGCAAACGGGATTAGGCGGCAGCCGACGGGAGAGGGCTCCGCGCAGCCCTAGCCCCATGCAGCAGCAGCGGTGGCAGCCTCCCCCCACCCCCCTTTAGACGTGGTGCTTTGGCTCCGGGCTATAAGAGCTCGCCTGTTATTGGCTTTATATAGTCCAATTAGGCAGCAAATGAGGACGGGGCTATTAGCACAAAAGGATATTGGCTCTGCTAAAGCACCACTAGAAGTGCAGGAGGCAAATGACACAGATCTCACCGCTCATGCCACAAAACCACCCCCTCACACTTCCTCCTGGCTCTCCCCGCCCCAGCGGCACAGGTCCCCGTGGCTTGCAAACGCAGCCCGTGCGGGGAGGATTTTTTTTGGCGGGGCGGGGGGGCTGATCTATATAGCGCTGTCTCCTCCTAGAACCATCCACCTCCCACACTGGGAAGGGAACAGGGCTCGCCTGGGGGCAGTTCCTGCTCTTTCCCGTAGGGAGAGACTCGGAAGACCCAAGGCAGAAGAAAGCTCAAACATGACTCCAAACAACAACCCAGACGGGCTGGCATCCCGGAAACGTCTCACTCCGCAATGGATAGCTCCCCGCGTCTCCAAAACATACCACGGGCAGGGCTTCTACAGGCCCCAGTCCCAAAAGTGTCACAAGGCGGTGATTCGCAGTGACACGAAATGGGGACTGCTACTGAGCGTTTCCACCTCCCCAATTTGACAACGGTGTCCTTGATTCACTCATCACCCAAATTACATTGACAAGTGGGCTTCTAGCAGTAGATCATAACTTTGTCTTTCGCTTAACACAAATCCTGCTTTCAGAAAAAGTATTGTTACCGAGCTACGACACTAATCTGTTATATTAACTATATTATATAAACACAGCAGGGAGTCCCGAGGCACCTGAAAGGCTAACAACATCATTTTGGCATAAACTGTCGTGGGCAAAACCCACTTTGTCAGATTATATAGTTTTATACAGAATGATGATGATGACGACGATAGCTAGCTAGCACAGCAACATGTTACATATAAGTCTAACAATGTGGGAGGATGAAAAAGCGGGTTCTTTTAATATTGGTAATTTGTAAAGTGTAGTTTGGTTTTATTCAATTACCAAAAAAAAAAACCCAAAACCAAAAAAACAAACAAACCAAACAACAATCATCAAACAAACAAAGCCCCAAACCTTTAACAAATAGGTATTTGGATTATATACTTCGTCTTCCAGGCTTCTATTTACAGATTATTATGAGTTTAATAGCCAAGATACTTTTCCCCCCTCTGAATATTTTCAAGCAACATGTATTGTCTAAAATAGAACACAAAAGAGTTAAGGACAGGTAGCACTGTAAGCAAACCTACTGTCAATATTTCTTAAGAACTAGGCTACTGTTCACAATTTATTTTTTACAATGGGGCAGGTCAACTAGCAACATTCACACGGCCCGTACTTTTTTGGAGGATAGCTTCTTGTGTTTGTGGATGTATTTAGGATTGCTGTTTACACGCCCAAACCAGCAATTTGTGTTGACACTTCACTTCACATTTTGCACAATATGCAATAGCTTCTAACCTATAGCGTCTAACGTTATTTGTTCTCTATTTAAATAGTTCAAATGAAAATGGCAAAATATGTATAAGAACACTGATCTGGAGGAATCCAAAATAAAACCCACAGCTTTCCCGCCTTTGATGGACTCTTCTTATTAGTAGTTCTTTCTTTCATTTTGTTACCTTTGTGTTTGACTCGGCATGTATGACTGGCACGTTTGAAAATTAAGATTAGCTGAAATATATTGGAGTTTTTTTATATTAATGATTTTTTAATATGGAATGGGATTTTGTTGCAAACTATTTGCTGTCTTGATTTCCTATAAATAACTTCTGTTAAAAGAACGTCCTTTAAAAGAAACCCCATTTATGTAGTGTTCAGGCAACTTCGGAGCATAGTTTTCTGAAGATTTTCATGAATTCCAATTATATTCTACGTGGGTCCTGAGGAGAAAACTCTATTTAAATATTATATATTCTAATGGTTTCTCTACAGGAATATCTGTTTCGATATTAAACGAATGTGTAGGTTTTATGAATACAGATATTCATACAAAATGATATTACGATACTCCTTTCTGCAGTTAAAAAGCATCTGCTTTTTTACAAGCGTCTGCAGCTTGGAATCAGTGAAGCTATGCTTATTCTGAGACACTCCAACAAAGTTTGCTCTGAAAAATGTCTATTCGATTTCAAAACAAGGACGTCATCTCATTTTGTAATATTCTGTCCTGCAATAAAAGAATAAAAGCACGATCTATGAGCTGTGAATTTTTTTTCCGGAATAAATACACCACTGATTCTTCGGGTTGGAGGTTTTCAGCACTAGCAAGGAGCTCCAATTCTCCAGCAAAAGTTGTACTTTTGAAGCTTTGAGTAAAGAGGATTTTATCCCGACAGACCTGGGGTAGGGAATTACTGGACAGGTTGGTATTTTCCCTCACAAATATATCTGATGTAATACATCTAAGAAATGTGACCATTGAAAATACACGCCAGGACACCTCTATTTTTGCACATACTTCCATTTGAAACGAGCCACTTTATTTCCAAGTAGCGGAATAACTAGAAAACACATATTGCCTCAGGGGTTTTGCAGAATATAATTCGTGGCCACCTGTTTCCAAAGCTTGCTCCTTCACTTTCACTCTATGATATCATCCTGCCAGTCAAACTTTAACATTCTTAGGGTCTCTTCCCGGAGAAATAGATCAGAAGAGAGAGAAAAGATGCAAGTTGTCCGGACTCATTACCAAAGTCTCTCAGTCACTCCGGATCCAATTTTCTGGCTTTAAATGGCATTTCGAGTACTTAGGCTAGCGTGGAAAACACAGCACTTCTTTTTAAACGCTTGCATTATCGTCCCAATCCGGCTTCATCTCTCTCTAGCGCAAAACTAAAGCGCATAGCGCCCTCTGCCGGAATTCCCCATCGTTCGGTAGCAACTCGCGTATGAGAAGCAAGAACGGAAGCAAATCAATAGCTATTTTACAAGGCTATAAGGGGGAAATATTCTTTTCCAAGATCCATCTTTTTTGATATTTGTAAAGCCAGCAGGAGTTTTGTGTTCAGGGGACAAGGGAATTGCATCAGCACATAGCTATCTCATTTGAGCTAAAAGTCTAAAAAAACCCACCACCACCCCAGTCAGAACACTGCTGTACTCGGAGGATATTTATTTTCACGTCATGAATTCGATCAGAAAGAAGAAAGTGAGGAGATCAAGACAGTTAGGGCGCCGCCTTTAGTCGCACTGAATTGGCCTCTCTTTATAAAATATGTATGGTTGAACTGGGCGAGCTGTGTTCAGAGGCATTTCAATTTCTGGGCTTTGTTCTTAACAGGAGTCGTCTTGTAAACGTTATTTCATACTGCCAGAATAGGTCTCACGGATTGAGTGCCAAGCCTGCAACGACACAGCGGAATGAAATTTAGGAATAGGATGTGCTGTGAGCTAAAACGAGACTTTAATCGGAAGCGGTAATGGCTTTGCATCACATGCTCCGTGTATTTTCGCACAAGTCCTTTGAAAAGCCTTAACAATACATGGTCATCAGTGATTTCTAACAGACAACAGGGAACGAGGAGTGAGAGACAGAAAATACATGCTGGAGGGTGGAGGGTTATAGTCTCTAGTTACTTTGGATTGTTTGCCAAATATTGTATGTCGAAAAAGGACTAAATAGTGAAAAATCCATACATGTAGAACCGGTAGGTTGAAAGGAAGAATACGCAGGGAGAACAGCATGCATGTAGAACAGGCAGGCTGAATGGAGGATATGCAAAGGGCTATACATATATGAAAAGTACAGGTACAAACTGAATAGGAAATACAATGTAGAAAACACATATTACACAATCGGAATGTGGCATGAGATGAAAGATTCACGAGGGGAAACAAACGCTTAATTTAAAAAAGATCTGTATCGCATTTTCTATCCATTTTGTTTCTCATACAGGAGTTGTCAATCTTCTGTAGGAATTAGGGCCGGCTGCCTAAAGGCCAGACTGTCCCTGCGCTCACCGGGTTTTTCTTTGTCTCTTTTCCCAACCTAGTTTGTAGGCTGCCAAGGTGGGGGACCCCACTACTGTCTCAGAGCGCTTAGATGCCATGGTAATGGATGCATGAAGATCAATTAGAGATAAAGGGTTTCTTGGAGGTGGGGGGTGAGGAGGCGAGGTGTCAGGTCGCTGAATAAAGCAATGGGAGAGGTTTACCCCCCGACTTCATCAAGAGATAGGCACACGTTTGCTGATTGTCTGAGCCATCCAACTATTGGGACCAGATTCTGAACCCTGAATTTGTTTTCATTATACTTGAAAGACGTATGAAGTACAGAATAGTATCGATGTGGCCCAAGATGCAGTTGAAAGAATTACCCACGTGGTTAGTGTACATCCGCTCACTGGGTTTTAGGCTGGTAATCTGCTGTGGTTCTCAGATCACAACTGAATCCATAATCTGGATTACCATTCTGAAGAAAAAAGTCCATACAAAGTATCCGACCCACATCAACCAAGTATAAATCTGAAAATGTGAAATAAATGTGAACACCTATAATGAACCTTTGGCTTGGCACAAAGAGAAGAGGAAAATCAAATGTTCAATCACAGATTGAAAAAAGGGGGGAAGATCTGTATTTAAACGAGTCAATGACTCCCACATGTAAAATTTCTTTCCCTCCTTCCTTTTATTTAACAGATAATCTGGCTCACTCGTTAAAAGTACATGGAACAAACGGGCGTAACCTTCCTGAGATAATAGGGAGCTGTCCAGCAACGTGAGTTTTTAAGCAAACCCTTGCAACCAGCGACCTCCTAAGGATTTATGTTACTTCCTGGAAAATTTGGGGTCTATAAACTCAGGAATGGATTACACAGTAATGCAATATTTTCATCTGCGACAGCTACAACCTCCAACATATATTCTTCAATTTATGTAACTTTTTTTCAGACTACGATGTGTGTTAGAACAGAATGGGAATTGCTCATAGAGCAGGTTGCAATAAATACTGCTCAGGTATTGCTGATTTATGGGATTGTAACAATCATGAGAGGGATAAAACTAGAGACACATTTAATGATCTAAGTCAGGGGTTTTTGCATTGCCCTCCACGCGGTGGTGTCTAAATGGCTTCTTCATTCATGAGACTGGACTAAACGAA